ATGAAAGATCCTTCTCCCTTCAGTCCTCCACCCATCAAATTGTGCAACCCTCTCATTAACACCCCACCCCACATCCTGCCCATTCTCACCCCTCTACTTCCCCCTCTCCCCTCTTGGATCCTCATACTCATCCTACAGTAATGGTTTTATACAGTATTTGTCCTCATGTGACTGAGTTAGTTCATTCAGCATAATGCTCTCCGCTCCCTCTCAAGTTATAAAGTAGTTTACAGAATCATTGCTCCTGAGTGCTGCATATTATTCCATTATGTGAATGTACCACAACTTTTCAATCCATTCATTTGTGGTTGGACATCAGTGCTGTTTCCATGTTTTTGTGATGGTGAATATGCTACTTTGAACATTGATGTACAAGTTTCCATTTGAGCCTCAGTTCTCATTTTCTCAAGATATGTTTTTAAGAATTATTTTCCCAAGATAGAGAATTTCCTGGGTATCCACAAGTAAAAGACTGTTAACCCAATTTAAAAAATGGGCAAAAGACATGGAAAGAATTTTCGCAGAGGAAGATATCCACATTGCCAACAGACATACGGAGAAATGTGTCATATCACTGGCAAAAAGAGAGATAGATGCAAATCAAAACCACAGTGAGATACTATCTCACTCCAGTAGCGGTGACAACATTTAGCAGGATGTCAAGTAATAAATATTGGGGAGGATGTGGCAAGATAGGAACCCATACATTGTTGGTGGGATTGTAAAATGGTACAACCCCTTTGGAAAGCAGATTGGCACGTCCTCAAAAAGCTGAACATAGAAATTCCATATGACCCAGCTATCCCATTACTTGTATCTTTAAATGATTATTTTATGTCTTCTATATAGAAATTTTCAATTTTGATATTTTAGAGTTCATTGGAATAAAGTATATAAGGATATGCAGTAAGTATATGAGGATAGCAACTTCTGAAAATATTGCTTATATATTATTCAAGCATACTCAATTAATGAGCTCTAATAATAGGGAGTTCTACTGGCCTAGTGGCAAAAAGCTGCACTGCAATCCCAATGACACTCCATTTGAGACCACCAGCTGCTCCACAGGGGAAAGATGGGCAATCTCCATCCATGAGACTGGCTGACTCTGAAAATAATAGTAATAATGAATGATGAAAATAATAATAATGATGGGCCAATTCTGACTCTATTGTAAACAATAACTCAAATAATGAATATCCATCTCTTTGTCATATTTTACTTGAAATTTGTGTCTGGTATAATTGGAAATCTTTGATATTCATCATGAGAGAGTAAATGTTTTATAAATAATAATAATACTAAGCTTCTACAAAGAAAGTACTTATTGGCTACAACTATTATGCAATTATTCAGAAAGTTTTATAAATATATATACACATACACACACACACACACACACACATATATTCTCTGAGTAAGAGTAAGAAATTATATACTCAAAACATGTCACTGAATTGTATTTATATTAAAAATTATCCTTCACAAAATTATTTAAGACATAACAACAACAATAACAAGGTAATGTGTGCCAGGAACATAAACTCTATTTGAGAAAGAAGAATTAAATAGAAATTCAGACAACTTTCTTTATAATTTAAAATAATAATTTACATTTCTGAATTTCTAGAACTACTGATTTTAAAATTTCTAGTACCACTAATTTTGAAGCTTGACATGTAAATAACTATGTCCTTCACCTGTATAAATACATGAAGAGGATTTTATATTTTATTCATTTCTAAGCATGATTATTAGCAAAAGATTTTTCTAGCTAGAAACTACTGATCTTTTTCATTTGTTTATTTAGTATTCTAATGGACTTAAACATAATCATCCATAATTAAATAGGTAGATATCAAAGTCTAATATGATTATAATTTTAAAATAGCCAAATGATGACATTTTAAAATTAGTTTTAAATGTCCGTTACTTATACAATTTTAAAGTCTTTTTCTGTTCTACAGAACTCTACCAAGTATGAGTTTTAAAATGTCATAGTTTTATAAATTCCTTTATATACACAATTTTAAAGTCTTTTCTTTATGTTCTATAGGATTATTAAAACAAATTATTTTATTATTATTTTTATGGTAAAGAAAGTGAAATTGTTAAAATCAACAACGTGAAATTATTGAAAAAATAAAACTTGATATTATTCATATTTTTCAATTCTCATTGCGATTGAGTAAGAACTGACTCAAAGTTGATCCTCCAATGGTTTTCTAAGGCTGTAACTTGCATAGGAAAACAGTTTCTATCTCTTTCCTTCTATTGGAATGGAACTGCCAGAGAGACAAGGCTTTTGGGTTAGCAGTGAGAATGGTGCTCTCAGTTCAGTCTTCTAGCCTCCTAAACTTTGAGAAAATTCTTTTCTGTTAGTTATGTCCCTCACTTTATTTCTGTTATAACAGCACTGAATAACTAAGATGAGAAGGTAGCTTTGAGTAAGAATCATTAATATTAAAGGGAGACGTTCAAGTTGCACTGAGAGCATTGGTGAAAACAATGCTCAAAAAAGATGAAATGCTAACTGACATATTTCAACAAGAGAATGCAAAAATGGAGCACTCAGTCATCTATGTCAAGAAATTTGGCCATCTTGACCAGAAGAGAACCAAACTGCTGCCCATTTCAAAGTATGATGATCCAAAAGAACACAGAAATTACCAAGCATTAATAATAATTAATAATTATTAGTCCTTAGTAATGTTGTTGTGTACTGTTAGTTTGGAAGCAACTGTAGCTGACTCTCCAGCGGGTGAGAGGCTGTAAATTGCATGGAAGGAGATTGCCCATCTTTTTCCCACAGAGCAGCTCATGGATTCAAGCCATATACGTCTTTGTTGGCAGCGCGATTCTTTATTACTAAGCCGCCATATGATGAAGATAATCCAAACATTTTGCAACAATGGACAGTGACTTCTAAAAAATCATGCTAGATTCAGAAGAAGACTTGAAAAAGGGCTATAAATTGTAATGTCAGATAGATCTTGGCCCCAAACAAAGAATACCAGGAAAGTCTTTAATTGTTTTTTATTGACTAGGGGGAAAAAACAAAACATTGAGCTCTATTGATCAAAACAAATTTGTGGATAACATTCTGAAGAATGGAGATATAAGAATAGTTAATTGCATTCTTATAGAACTTGTACTTAGACCAAGAAGTTGTTTGAGCAAAACAAGGACATATTACATGGCTTAAAGCCAGGAGAGCTGTGTGTCAACATTATATCTCTCACCATAGTTATTCAGCCTGTACACTTAGCAAATAATTCTGGAAGCTGTACTATAGTACAAACGTAATGCACTATCTCCAAATATAATAGCATCAAGTCTGAAGAAAGAGTCATTAACAACCAAAAATATAACAGATCCTTACTGGCTAAAATATGTGCTATTAGAAGTTAAAGATTATAATCAGTTATCAGAATAGTTTATACTTTTAAAAAAATAACCTCAAAAATGTGTCAATGAGCAACATCTATCATATGTCAATATGGTTAACATATAGCAATATGGAGAGAGGATAAGAGTTGTCAAAGATCTACTTTCACTTGGATCCACAATCAAAGCCATGTAATCAGCAAACAAGAATCAAATGTAGTACAAAATACTTTCTTTTTTTAATTCAAGAAACAGATTTATTTCATAATTTCTTCCTTTATTAAATATTTACAAGATGTCTGTTAGTTCTCTACTTGTGCCCTACTCACACCAGCCAATCTTAGGATTGAAAAGCAAAGATATTCCCTTGAGGACTAAGCTGAACTTGATCCAAACCTGAAAGCAGGGAATACCAGAAGAATGTATATCTGTGTTTCATTGATTTTGCAAAGGCGTTTGACTGTGTAGATCATAAAAAACTGGCTGGCTCTGAGAAGAATGGAATCCCAGAACACTTGACCATGCTAATATGAAACCTATACTTGAACCAAGAGGCAGTCGTCAGAAAAGAGAAAGGAAACACTGCATGTTTCAAAATTGGGAAAGGTGTATACCAGGGATGTGTCCTGTCTCCATACCTTTTCAGCCTGTTTGCAGAACAGATTATCCGAAAGGCTAGGCTCTATGAGGAGAAGTGTGGCATCAGGATTGGTGGAAGATCTATCAACAATCTGCGTTATGTAGATGACACAACCCTGCTTGCTGAAACTGAGGAGGACCTGATGCACTTGCTGCAGAGGGCCAAGAACTACAGTCTTCAGTATTGATTGAGGCTCAATGTCAAGGAGACAAAGATTCTCACCACTGGACCAATTGGCAGCATCAGGATGGATGGTGAAGAGACTGAAATTTAGTCTTTAGACTTTAATTTGCTTGGATCCACGGTCAACACTCTTGGCACCAGCAGCCAGGAAATAAAAAAAAACGTATTGCGATAGGACAGTCTGCTGTTAGGGACCTCTCCAGGGTACTGAAGAGCAATGGTGTCATTCTGGAGACAAAGCTGTGCCTGATACAGCCATGGTCTTTGCAATCACTTGTTGGTTATGCATCAGAGAGTTGGACAATGACTAGGGATGATAGAAGGAGAATTGATGCCTTTGAGCTGTGGTACTGGAGAAGAGTATTGAATATACCATGGACTGCCAAGAAAGTCATCCTGGAGAGGGTTAAATCAGGCTGCTCCTTAGAGGCAAGGATTCTGGGGCTTTGTCTGACATACTTTGGACATGTTGTAAGGAGGGACAGGTCCTTGGAGAGGGACATCATGCTTGGGAGGGTGGAGGGGCAGCGTAGGAGGGGAAGACCCTCTGTGAGGTAGATTGATTCAGTGACTAGGGTAATCAGGATGGGTGTGTCAGAGGTCATGCAATTGGCATAGGATAGAGCAGGGTTTAGGGCTGTTGTAAATAGGGTTGCTGTGAGTTGCAAGTGACTCAATGGCACATAACAACAACAACTGTCTAAAATATTATGGTAATAATTGAAGGTAGTTTTACAAATGTAAAATATAATTCCTCTGTTCCAATACTGATTTGATATTTTATTCATAGGGAGAGCCTGGAGAAGCTGGAAACCCAGGGCCTCCTGGAGAAGCTGGTTCAGGGGTAAGTATGGTCATGTTAATATAGACTATGATTGGTTCACAAAGTTTTTGAGAGTATTTTAAGCATGTGACTCCTCAATGCGATTAAATTTTGTAAGTATAATTTTTTAAGGATTCTGTAACTGTATTATTTTTTAAATTTTATATTGGTTTGCTTACAAAGTTCATATATATAGTGCTTCACACTTTTCTACATTCATACTGTTTCATACAATTACACCAAGCATTATATCTTATAAAATTAATCCCCATTGGACCTTGGCCATCGTTACCCTGTCTTTTCAGGTCTACGTTGAATCCTTCCACTTTTTCATCCTTTTCCTCTACAAACCAAATTGTATAACCTATGGTTTGGCCCCTACCCTTTCTTACCCCTTTCCTGTTTTCCCTTACCTCCTTGTACCCCTCTACATGTTTGTAGTTTTGTTGGGTTTTTTTTACACTTAGCATAAAATCTCTTTCTTTTTTTAATTTTTTTGCAAGCTGCATCTATGAAAAAGACTAGATTCATTCTTTATCTCTGAAAAATGTCAGAACCTATAACATGTTGTGCCTTTTTGTCTCCATCAATTTCTTCAGTGCAGACTCTAATCATTAATGTTGATGTTTTGTCGTCTATTGACTCTTGAGAGAAGGCAAATAAATTCCCCTTTAAACTGTAAATAATGGTATTTGGACTGTTTCTTCAAAAAATTTGCAGTAGGTCTTTTATTTTTTCCCCTCTTACTTTTTGAGTGATAATTTTAAAAGGACAGAATCTATTTTGAGAGTACCTAATTCTTTCTTCCGTTAATATAACAGCCTTTAAATTCATAGTAGTAGCACATAAATCATGAATTAAGGCAGCACATTATTGTTGTTATGTGCCCTCAAGTTGCCTGTGACTCATACCGACCCTATGTGCAGTATGCTCTGAACCTTGCCCTATCCCAATCCAATCTCATTTTCTCCAGCAGACCTAATCCCATTTCTTCAATCACTGAGTCAATCCATCTAGTTATGAGTCTTCCTCTTCTGCACTGTCCCTTCACCCTTCCAAGCGTGATATCCTTCTCCAAGGTCTGGTCCATCCTGGCCATGCTCATTCATTATAAATTATGTTGGTGTAGGGGTTTTTGTGTGTTTTTTTATTATATTGGGGGCGATTAACAGCATAGGAGATCCCTTTATTTTATCAGGATCCTTTTCTGGGTTCTTTATTATTTATTGAATGAAAAATATAACTGAATTGCAATTTCTTGAAAGATCATTTATTTCAGGCTCAGAATATTGATTTATTTCTTCTAAATTATAAACTTCTTAGTCTAGGCTCTAATTTTACCTTGCTGAGTTTGAACAACTGCTTCTTGACTACAGGCAAGGTTTTGCATGAGCACTGTTAAAGGTTATGAAATTCCCACTGTTCTTTTCTTCCCCTTAGTTAAAAAAATATGTTTTAAAAAAATCTTATTAGTTTGCTTACAAGGTTCATATACATTGTGTTTCATACTGTTTTTCCTTTGTACTGTGTTTCATACAATCATTCCCGTGCATTATGTTTTATATCATTAATCACCATTGGACGTTGACCATCTTTACCCTGTCTTATCAGGTCCCCACTGGATCCTTCCCATTTCCTTTATCCCCTCCCTCTACCAACCAAATTTTACAAATCTGTGGTTTTGCTCCCCCTCTCCTTACTCTTCCCCCACCCTCTCCCATCTCTTCCCCTTGGGTTCCCACACATGTTTTACTAGTTATTCTTCTATTTTTACCGTAGTCTTATGTGGTATTTGTCCTGAGACTGAGTTAGTTCACTCAGCATAATGCTCTCCAGTCACTCCCAACTTATGTAGTATTTTTCAAAATTATTGCTCCTGCATAATGCATAGTATTCCACTTTGTAAATATACCATAATTTATCAGTCCATTTAGTTGTTGTTGGACATTTGGGCTGTTTCCATGTTCTTGCAATGGTGAATAACACTGCTGTGAACATTGGTGCACAAATGTCTGTGTCTCAGTTCCAATTTCCTTAGGGTATGTTCCTGGTATTGAAATAGCTGGATCATAGGGAGTTTCTACTTTCTGAAGAAATGCCAAAACTGCCTTCCAGAATGGCTGAGGATAATTACAAACATAGTATTAATTAATAATTTCTCAGCCTACTTCATATTTTATGCATACACAGTTTGAAAAGAATTTATACAATTATAAATGAGAGAATTAAACTCTAAATTGTTTTCTATGTATATTCTTTTTTAGTAGACTGATAAAACAAAGTTACCAACAAAAACAATTCTACTGTAACAATTAAATATTTAAGATTATATTTGAGTTTTCCAATTGTTTTATTTTAACCCTCAAAACCCAGGTCTTATATTAACCCTCAAAGAAAATATGTCAATGCTTGGACACATTTTTTTTTTGCTAAAGAGGTATAATTATGATAAAAGGGGGGAAAAAGAAGCTTTTGTTGATATCTACTTGATGGAAGCTGGACATGTTGTAAAACTTCTTCCAATACATAAGTAAGTTAGTCACACCAAAACAAGGAGCTCTATGTTCCAAATGTCTACAGGGCTGAGGTTAGGAAATTTTAATGTGCAGCCTATAAAATAAACATTTATTTTTGTAAATTGCATAGGGTCCCAAAGGAGAAAGAGGGGAGAAAGGAGAAGCCGGTCCACCTGGTGCTGCTGGACCTCCTGGTGCTAAGGGACCACCAGGTGATGATGGTCCTAAAGGCAACCCCGTAAGTGAGCTTGTTTTCCTCTAAGGTGGTATCTATACTAAACTCATTCTGAAACTACTTATGGTAAGTTTAGCCATCATGGAATTTTTATCCTTAACTGATGAAGTTGAAACTTTACTGTTTTACACATTTGTTTGCATTCTCAATTTGTTTCACTTTTAAATTTTTCTGGCATAAGAAGAGAGATAAAGGAGAGATGTAAAAGGTTTATAGTAACTTTTAAACTTTTAGTACTTATAATATTAAAACGTTTGTGTTTTTCATCTTTTAATCTTTTTCCTGTATAAAATTATTCTAGGGTCCTGTAGGTTTTCCTGGAGATCCTGGTCCTCCTGGGGAACCTGGCCCTGCTGTAAGTATCATGATAGAATAAAGGATGTATTTTAGATTATATTCTCAGTATTATCATGGTTAATAATTTCAGAAAACAATTACTGTAAGTAGACTCTTGAAAAACCAAATGAAATAAAAGCATAAACAGTAATAAGTGGAAAATTTTGTAGAAAAGGATAGTATTACATTTACATTGTTTATTTATATCATCTTTCATTCTTTTTTAAATGTAATAGTTGTACAAACACAAATCATCTGAATAACAGTATCATTGTTAAATCAAAGTTATAAGCTCTTTGATATTATCTTAGTCTTTGTTATAATGCATTTTGTTTCAAATGATAACTTCTTTGTGAAGAATGTACTATCCTATCCTTATATCTTCATTACATGTTCCCTTTTTTTAAAAAAAAATTAAAAGACCCGTTACTGCAACAATTTGGAAAATAATATATAAAACATAAAGGATATCATTAACTTGGAAAGAAGAGAGTGTGTAAGATACGTAGAAGTTTATTGGCCATCTGATAATAATATCTTTCAAAAAATTTCAAAACCTACATTATTTTATATCATTCTTACCTCATTAATGTTAACAAGTAGTGACAAATAGCTGGGTTGTTCTTCTATTGTGATTTATAGGGGCAAGATGGTGTTGGAGGTGACAAAGGTGAAGACGGAGATCCTGGTCAACCAGTAAGTAAACTCACTTCTCTTTTTTTTTTTTAATTCCACATATTATCTTAAGATATATCAAAGAACTAATTCTAAACAATCACCCTTCACAAACACAGTAATGTGTGTATCTTTTTATGGAAGAACTGTAAGCAAAATTTGACTTCAAGTTGAGAGTCAATCTTGCATTAAATGTTTCCTATTGGTTGTGACTGAAGAAGTCTTTATCATGAAAATGTCATAGCATACCTAGAATAACTTAAACTATAACCGTAGCTATGTCAGTTTTCTTTGTTAAGTGAAAGATTACTTTAAAAATATGCAGTCAAAAGTAAGAGGACCCAATTTTTAACGTGCTACATATTTGTATGAAGCACTTTATTCTTCTATCTACTTGAGTTTAACATAATGTATGATATTTTAGAAAGTTGGAGGAAAAGCACAGTACAGTACTATGTCTACATGTGTCTATGCAATCAGGATGGGAAGAAAAGCACTAACAAGTAGGAGCCAGTTACAAATTTCCCCCATGACAACTTGGTCTCTAGAGCCATCTCCACTGAAAAACACTGTCAAAGAGTTAAGTACTTATTTTATGTAGATGTTGTTGTGCACACTGGCATCAAAACATGAATTTTACACAATTAAAAAATTAAAAATAATAGTTATGTCATTTGATAGGGTTTAGCCATGTGGCTACTGGACATTTAGCTTTTAAAAGGAACTCAGTTTTGCAGCATAGAGCAGATTTCTTTCACTTCCTTCTAGTTATGAAGAAGTTGGATTTTTATCCATCAGTTTACCATCTCAGACCATAGGTCTAAAAGATACTTAGGTATTTAAAATTACACTGATAATTTTCTGAGAAAGTTAGAAATGAAGAAAGAAGATTGGATTCATTTAAGATCTTGAAAAATGTTATGGGCTGTAAAAGAATATCCAATTTCTTATAGGGTATTTTTCACATTCTATAGGGTCCTCCTGGTCCATCTGGTGAGGCTGGCCCACCAGGTCCTCCTGGGAAAAGGGTAAGTCTTCAATTCTCTATTTAAACTCATTATCCACTGTATGTTTAAATGTCTAGAAAATACACTGGTGAGCTACTGGTAAGAATCTGCACTGCACTTCTGAAGGAACACAGGTCAAATTCACCAGCTGCTCCTTGGGATAAGGATGGGAAATCTCCTTCCATGCGTTTCCTGCCTCTGAAAACTTGCTGGAGGGTCAGCTATGACCACTGGTTCCAGCTATGAGGTTCCAACTCAATAGCACACAACAGCAACGTAGCCTAAGTTACAGACACCATGCTATAAGAATTTCTGGAAAAATAGACGTTTTAGAGAATATTTTTTAAATGTCAAAATATTAAATAGAAGTGTCTTTTAAATATTTTACTATTAAAATGAAATGAAGGAAACATTTCTTCCCTATAGAGTTTGTTACTTCTTGTACTTATATATATTTTGTGTCCAAATACTTGTAGATTGTTATAAAACAATACAGTAGAGCCCTGAATACGAACTCATGGTTTATTATAAAGGGATTCTTGGGTTGTGCAAATAGTTAAATCACTCACTTATCAGAAGTTTGGAGATTCTAAATCCACCTATTTACACCTCAGAAGAGGGGTCTGCCTATCCATTTCCCAAGATCACAGCCATTGAAAGCACTATGAAGCACGGTTCTGATACATTCAGAATTTTCATGGCCAGTGTAAACTTCACATTGACTGTTTTTCTTTTATTTTACTTTTACTGGAGACATAAAAGTCCAGGGTTATACTACATTAAAAATGAAATTCAGTATCTGTAAAATGAAAATAGGATTAAGTATAAAATTTTAGACTATTTTGCACTGCCCAACTAAATAGAAGGCAATAGCAAACTATTAATGGACTTGTACACATGTTAAATGCACTTGACTCCGCATACGATACTTTGTTCTTTGCTCTTGTACACTTTTCTGTTAAGAACAGTGGAATTTCTGCTACCTTGTCTCTTTAAGGATTTCTTTATATTAAGCTATAAGTTTCTCCTGTGTGACTTCTAGTGTATTTTCCAACCTATGTATGAACAAAACATGTGATATATAACCCAATGTATTTCACAAACAAAATGAGGCCATTGTTGTTTCCCAACTGTAGCTTTTCTTTAAAATGATTTCATTTTTACACTGTATATCCTCATGTTGAACATTGGAAATTTGTGCAGTTTACTTTTGTCTCTCATCAATATAAATTTAAGTCAGTATCTAAAAACAAATGTTTCTTCTCACCAGAAATAAATTTCATTTATGGAATATATTTCCCTTAATACAATTTTTCTTACACTGATAAAGTGTCTTTTTACCTTACTTATTAAATGTCTTCTTTTTGCTTGCATCCCTAAAACATGGTGTTTTTATAAAAAATAAGTTATCCTTTGATCAATCAGTTAGCAGTCATTCTTAGAATGAAATTACAGTGTGACAAATTATTTTCAAATCTGTTGCATCTTCTTGCCTGCAGTCTTCATTTCTTAAAAACTAGAGATAAATTGTTATCTGTTCTGTTCTTTCAGAACTTTTGCAAAAATGGATATGTTGTTTCATTTCATAGTATAGGCATTATGCCACCCTATATAAAATACCTTTGCACATGGCTTGAAATACTTCCAGAGAAAACATGGAATTATGCTTTTGCTTGTTTATTTGTTCACACCATTTTTCAAATCTTAAATGATGTAATGATATGCAATTTAGTAGGGGTATCTGGTGGCATAGTACATAGAGATTTATAGTGCTAACCCAAAGGTTGTGTTTATTTGACAGTGTCAGTTCAAACCACAGCTCCTTATTATAAAGATGGGCAGTCTCCGTTCATGAGATTTATAGCCTCAGAAACCTGATTGTAGTTTGGAATGTATTAAAAAAAACAACAACAACCCTTTGACAGGGTGTGTTATATGTTGGATTGCAACCAAAGGTCTGAGTTTTGAATCTACCAACCGTAACTCCATAAAAGAAAGATGAGATAGTCTTTCCCTTGTAAAATTTACTGCCATAAAGGAAGGTTGCAACAAATTGCAATTGGTTAAATTATAACAGACTCAGTTATTGTGGGTTAACAGAATATGTTGGTAAACAGAGATTTGACTACTTGACTTTAAACCAAGTTCTAACATTTACTGATATTGTTACTGGGTGTGTCAGAGACAGTGAGATTGGCACAGGATAGAGCAGGGTTTAAGGCTGTTGTACAAAGAGTCACTATGAGTCACAGGTGACTTGACACATAACAACAACAACATGGTCAATTTAAGTCCATATATGTTTTATTTCCATTAAGTTAGTACTGTTTAAATTCATAGTAAGCATAGTTAAAACACTGCCTGCTCCTAAAAATCATTAAGTTTGAGCCAATTATTTCAGCCATTATTTCACATTATCTTGTTGAGGGTCTTTCTCTTTTCTCATAACCCTTTACCAAGTTTATGGCCCAAAGTACATGAGAAGAAGTCTTACCATCTTTGATTCTAAGAAGCATTCTAGCTTACTTCTTAGGATTTTTCATTCTTGCACTCCATAGTATATTCAATATTCTTCACCAACACCATAAAAGTACCTTTGGTCTCACATATCCATTGTCCAATTTTCAAATGCTTCTCAGACAACTAAAAAATACTATTGCTTAGTAATCAAAGAGATCTCATATGTTGTTGTTAATGTGCTGTCAAGTTAACTGCCACCCATAGCCAACCTACAAACATTGGCTTTGAATCTGGCCCTATCCTGAGTCAACCTCACCATCTCCGACCCTCCTGACCCCTGACCCAGTCATCACAGTCACTGTGACAATCCATCTCATTGAGGATTTTTCTCTTTTGTGCTAAACCTCTAACTTTCCAAGCCTGATGTTCTTCCCCAAGAACTGGCCCCATCTAACAACACACTCAAAGTATGTGAGATGGAATTTCACCATTTTTGCCTTCAAGAATCATCCTGGTTCACTTTCCCCTGAACCTACTTGTTCTCTTGACAGTCCATGTTCAATATTCCTCTCAATCGCCACATATCAAAGGCATCAATTTCTTTTTGTCACCATTAGTTATTGTATAGCTTTCAGACACATAGCAAGAAATTGAAAAGACTATGGCTTGAATCAGACACACCTTTGTCTTTAGACTGATCCTATTGCTCTCTATAACTCTAGAGAGGTTTTTGGGAATAGATTTTTCCAATGCAACCCATCTTTTTATTTCCTCATGCTGATGCCAATGATGCTGATGTAGATTCAAGATGAAATCCTTAACAAATTCATTCCTTTCCATAACGATCATGATGCTGCCTGTTGGCCCTATGGTGAGGATGTTTGTTGTGGTGTTTTGTTTTTTGTTTTGTTTTGTTTTATTGAGATGTAATCCATATTGAAGGCTTTAGTCCTTGATCATCTGTAGCAAACACTTAAGTCCTCCTCAGTTTTGGAGAGCATGGTTGTGTCATTTGCATAATGCAAGTTGGTGACGCGTCTTCCTCCAATTCTGATGCCACAGCCTTCTTTGTAAAGTACATGTCTCAAATTATTGATTAAAAATGAATGGAGAAATGATAGATATCTGTCACAATCCATTCTTGATTTAGAACTGTACAAGGTTTTCTAGCTCTTTGGTTTAGGTATACATTTCACATGAGCAGAGTCAAATGTTCTGGGATTCTAATTCTTCTTATTGTTAGCCATAATTTTTATTAGTCACATAGTCAAATACCTTTGCATAGTACATAAAAAACAAATAGACATCCTTCTTATAGTCTCTGCTTTCAACACAGATACATCTGACATCAGCAAGGATATCCCTAGTACCATGACCTCTTCCAAATCCAGCTTGTTTTTCTGACAGCTCTTTGTTTGTGTCTTCTTCTAGCCATTTTTGTATAATCATCAGCAAGATTTTTCTTGCATGTGATATTAGTGAGATTGTTTGATAATTTTCACAATCTGTTGAATCACCTTTCTTAAGAATGATATATATGAGTCTCTTCCAATCAGCTGACCCGGTAACATTCCTCCAGATTTCTTGGTTTCATGTGTTTGCTGATATTTGTCAATAAGTATTCCATTAATTCCTGGGGACTTATTTTTCTCAGTGCCTTCACAGTAGTTTGAACTTCTTCCTTTGTTACCATTGGTTCTTGATCATATACTACTTCATGAAATGGGATCATGTCAGCAAATAAGTTTAGTACAGTGAATCTATATATTCTTTCAGTCCTCTTTTGATGCTTCCCGAATCTCTCAAGAATTTGTCCATAGCATCTTTTGATATAGCCACTCAAATTTTGATTTGTTCTTCATTACCCTGAACTTGAGAAATGCTGAGCAAGTTCTTTCCTTTTCATTTTCTAACTCTAGCTCTTTGCCTATTTCTGTATAATATTTTCTTCTAATGAGCTGCCTCTTGTATTTAGCTTTGTCATTTCTTCCCTTTGTTTTGACTTCTCACTGTTCTGCTTTAATATTTAGGATCATCTGACATTTAATTTGATCTTTTTTTCTTCCTCTGTCTTTATAATGACCTTCTGTTTTCTTCATGCATGATACCCTTGATGGCATCACACAGATCAGCTGGTCTTTGGCAATGTTCAATGCCCCATACCTGTTCTTGAGTTAGTTTTTATGTTCAAGTTGGATAAAGTCAAGGTAGTATGTTAGTACTTGCTTCCAGATTTAACTTTGATTAATTTCCTTGATTTGAAGTTGCACAAGAGTAATTGATAGTCTGTTCCATGATCAGCACCAGACCTGGTTTTCACAGCTGCTATAGAGCTTCTCCAAATAATTCTTTCCACAGATATAGTCAGTCAGCTTCCTGTGTAGTCTATTTCATGAGATGTATATGTAGAAGCCATTTGTGTTTTTTATAAAAGATAATTGGCAATTAATAAATCATCTATAATATTAAATTGTATCATTTTATCTCCAGCTATATTCTGTCACCATGTGCATAACTTCCAATATTGACCAATCTTCCCAACTTTTGAAATCCAGTAACCA